ACCACAGTAAGAGCGCCACTCAAACTTGCGTTCACCTTTAGCTTCCATCCAAGTTACAATAGTCACATTTGGTGCTGTAGATGCAATCATCTTACTAGTTTAATATTAGTCCGGTTTTCTGTTATTCCATTCAGCCACCTCAGACTCATTACCAGCAATGGTGTCATGGTAAAATCATCCAGACTATGATGATTATGGAAAACAATCGCTAATACAAACCAAGTTACGTTTTGTTTTTGGGGAATAATTAATGAATGCTGAAACTGAGATTTAAAATAATGTTTGTTATAAAACCAGTATCCATTTCTGTTTCCGACAGACAATGTTGCTACTTGTTATTTGATTGGTCCATTATTTGTGTGCCCAAATAGTTAGTCACTTTAATTACAGCTAACGCTAGCTTGATCCTACCCATGACTTAGCAGATGAAAGAAGAGTAGCATCTCAGTGCTAATCTTGACAAGCTAGGCTAACTAGCTTCCACTTTCTGAGGGGAGACTAGTTAGCCAACTGCTAGCTTCCACTTTTCAAGTGAAAGATATACATTTTCCCGCATGATAGGTCTCCAAAATGTTAAATGTTATAAAAGGGTCAGACGTGGTGAGTAAGAGACAGTAAAAACGCAGTAGTGCAATACAAAATATGACTTTCTAGCAATGGCAGCCAACAGCTGGCAGTCCAAAAGCCTGTTTCTACTCTTGAAAAATGAAGCTACATTACCATAACTGCGTTTCATTGTAAATGTATGAAAGTTAAACAATTTTTTAGAAGGTGTTAACTTCCACTAATCCCTGATTCCCTTAAACTTCTCCTTCGACTATACTGACTTTCCCACCATGTCTAGCCCTCTTCACCCCAGTCCTACCCGCTGTTACCATAGCAGCATATTGTCTCAGACTTTACTAGGAATCCTATCGCCCTCCATCCCTAAAGTACACCCCAGAGCCACCCATTGCTTTATTGCCCAGTGTTGTTCTCTGAAAGACTGGAATTCGCTGAGGTAAAATCGAACCAGATATTTAGGCTGAAAGGGGGTGAAAAGGAGGGGAAAAGATTTATAAAACCAGTCCTTTGGTTTTGGAACTGTTTCACATTATTATTGATATTTATGGTTATGGGCCATAGGATTATACATGTTTCCAAACGATGGCAATTATCATCCTCTGATCGTTTGTTCAGAGGTTGTTTGTTAGTGATTATAAACATTCCTGATAAATAGCCTTAAAGTTATTACCAAGAAAATGAAAGAGGTAAGAAAGGGATAAAGCAAGGAAGCAAGGGAGGGTGTGTGAGGCTGTGAGCTTGAAGGGAGGGGAGGGTTTAGGAGTGCGAGCCTGCCGGGCTCCCTGCTGGGCCTCCATTCATTGAAGCTCTTTTACAAGGGACCCTGCCTGGCAAAAAGGGGCAAACTTGCCAGGGTAAAAGGAAAGGGGTGGGCAAGTCCATTCGAGGATGCAACTGTTGCTATGTGGTGGGAGAACAGAATACAGTAGTGTGCTTTGGTCTCCCTCGGTTAAATAAGTGCTGAGAACTGCCAAAGCATCTAAATATAATTGAATTAAAATCATTAAAATAAATACGGAGTGTATAACAATAACCACATGTTCCTGATGATACCGTATCTTCTGGCTGTTTGCTTGTGGGTGGCTCTAATTGTGACGGTACGATCCGTGTGGGAAGTAAGGGTGGTGTTAGTGGAGGTGGTGGTGGTGAAAGGGGGAACTCTTATTGTGAAATCCCGGTGGAGGGTAATTGGAATTCAATAGGAGTTAGATCATGGCTGCTGCCTTAGTTCCTTTGAGGGAAAAGCTATGGGGGATTAGCAGTCGTTAGCCCATAGTGATGTGAAGTGGAAAGGAACAGCTGGCTCTCAGCTAGCCACATGGAGTGTGTGTGTGTGTCATTTTTGTGTGTAAGAAAAGAGATAGTAAGCGGTAGAGGGTGTTTTTCAGTATGTCGCCTTCTCTCCATCTGGGTGTTAGCGAGTGGGGGGATTGCCTCAGAAATTCCCTGTAAAAGTTGCCTCACCACAATGGCTTTGGGATAAATGTACTAGTTTTACCCTAATGACTTGTGACTGTACTTGGGATAGCTTAACACCCTTTTGAAATAAATTGTATTCCATGCTATTCAATGTCCTTTTTCGATCCTTTTTGCCGCGTCCTCAATGGAAGTTTCTAGACTGTGGGGAGTCTGCTAAACTGTCAGTCCTGCTGTGTTTTACAAGCCCAGAAACACTTTGTTATTTTATATAAAAGCAGCCAGGCAGGTTTGCTGAATACTTTTGGCATTTTATGTGGGAGGATGAAGGAGGGATGGAGGGAGGCAGAGAGAGAGCAGGAGAGGAAAGGTGGAATAAACAGCCCTATTAGTGGAGCGGTCTGAGGATCGGCACGTGGCCCCACGCTGCAGCGAGCAGCAACCACCGGCATAATAATGCAACACAATGCTGGAGCATGGCCCTGGACCTTTGATTTGTTTTATGTGTCTCTGGGTTAGATTACACTGAAAGCTCCTTTTGAGTTTGCTAACACTTCTAGTTACGGAGTTACTAAGACCTGTGTCCTGTCTAAATATGGTATTATCTATGGTCATCTATGGTATTTGTATGACCCTGGATGCTCATGCATTTCTAACATTTACAAAACCATTTAACAGTTATGTCTTAGTCTGATCTGGCGCTGATTGATGTTGGCAGTCTACATTTTTTCCTGGGTTACAACAAGGCAACACTTTCCATGTAAAGTTCCCTGATACGAACCCTTAAGTAATTAATACTAACAAACGAAATACGTACATTTTAGATAACAATGTAGAAGAAATAAAAGCTTTGCTCTTTTGTATTAAACAATTACGGCAATTTGCAAATGACTGTCCTGTTTAAGTCTCAAGATGGACTTTAATTTTACAATGCATTTTACCAGTGAATGTCTGCATGGTCATGTTGTATAGTATTTTGTGTATCCCATTTTGCAATCCAAATGTAATCGTATGATAGGTCATTGCTATAATACCAGAGTCACCATAGTTTAATAGCAAAATAAGCCAACTGAGTTGCTTGCAGTTGCTACATGGTAAGATTTAAAATTCGCGCTGCAGTGGTTCCTGCAGGATGGTAAAAAGAAAAAAAACTCAGCTAGCCACAGAAACCTTTTCCGATGATAGGCACGGCCTCATGAGAGACCTCAATTCAAACGCTGTATGGGATATATCAGACCTTTGTCTCACCCCCTGTGGGGTCAAAACGACAAGACCCACTCCTCTCATCAAAGTCATGTTCTCCCTTTTCCTCTCTCGCTTCCCACCTCTCTATCCAGCCAGGTCAGGCTATTAAATGGTAGAATACATTATAGAGAAAGGGGGAAGGTGGGGGCTAATAGATTGGAATATTATAACCATACAATAATTTCATGAAAAAGTCAAGGAGGGATCATCGTTCTTATTAAGTCCAAGAGAAATTGAGGCTGAAAAATGTTCAAATAGAAAATGTTAATGCCAGGCTATACTACATGTAATTGTGCCTGCACCATTCCCTGGGCTGGCCCCATTCATGCCACTTTATTAGTGGTAATTGAGGATATGAATTATAAATGGGGGGGTGATTTCTCTCCTCCTTCTCATTGAAAGTGAAGCGTAATGACCACTGCCATTGTTTAACCTTCATAATCTTCTGTTCTCATTTCTTTGCTTTGCTCTCTCCTGCCCCTTTTTCCTTTTAACTTCTTAACTTGTATGGGTTTTTCTTTTATTATTCTCTCTGCTTATTTCCATTCTTGTCACTCCCCATTATCTCCTCTACTCCTCTCTTTTTTGTCTTCCCCTTTCCTTCTGTATCTTTTTCAGGCTTCTGTTCTACAGTCCTCTGACCATTGTGGTCTGAAATTTGAACTACAGTATAAGAGTTTAAAGGTACCCTAGATACACACACATACATGGATACAAACACACATAATTACACACCCACACACTTAGATGAGGGGGTTGGCGGTGCTTTTTACCTTGCTGTAATTGCTTAATAAGCCCCACCGGTGATGTGTATGCCCCAGGCGAGGGATCCAGCAACGGGGGCTGGGGGTTTTCTTGGCATCGTTTCTGAGAAGTTCACTTTTTTTATTTAGGCTTTTTAAATATCAGCAGCTCCACACCTACCATCCAACAAAGTCCATTAGCCCCGGCCTCTCACCCACGACCAGTCTGCTTTTTATTTACAACATCAAACGTTTCACTTCATTAAATTACCTTTTCTTTCCCCTCCCCTCCTTACTCTCCTTCTCTCAAAGCACTCTTAGTTGCATTTAGTTGAAACATGTTTTCCGAAACAAAAGGAGTGGTGGAGTGTGGGGGGGGGGGGGATAAAACAGCCCTCCGATGCAGTCTGCAGTGGTTTTATAGCGGGGTATAATGGGCAATTGGGAGAAAGTATTTAATAGGAAACCGACATCGCGCTGTAATGCAACTGTTGTTAAAGTGGACTGATTCAGCCGGTGTCTCTGAAACGTGGAGGGCTGCTGTTCGCCATTTTCCCTTTTGAAGTCATTAACTGCCTTTTAAGTGGTGATGACTGCATGACTCTGTTCTGGAGACACTTGAGTTTGTGTGTGTCCTGAGCTGTGGTGTCAACGTATGCAGCCAATTGAACACAGTGTGTGCAGAATCAAACCAAACTGTAGTGTAGGTTTTAAGGAGTGGGGTAAAACACAATGATGCAGGTGGATTCTTTGCCAAAAAAAAGATAAAAACTTTAGTTAAATATATTTTCTCAGTAAAATTATGTGTTGTCACTTAACCCATTAAACATTCTGACCTGGATCTATTTCTTCAAAAAGTGTGCCCCCTACCTTAATTATAATTTAAAATGAAATAAACAGAATGTGATACAATTACATGTGTCCATTTCTAAAGTGTTCTAACACAATTGATTGCTGTTTAGCTCCAATCTCCCATAAGATATGCAAGACGTTGTGTGTAAAACCCCTCTGAAACCCAAATCTTTTACTCACATTTCTTTTCTTCTCCGCCATTGATCGAGAGTTTGATTTGATCTAGGTCCCTCATGTACTGCCACATCTGCAGCTTGTACTGCTGTGTGAAGCGGGCGTCAGCTGTGTGAGCATATAAATGAAACCAGAGAAGAATGAAAGCTAAACATTCTCCAAGATCAATATCCCAATATCTAACATCAGGGAACTCCAATAAGTACAACGCCAGGGACACTTCAATGGCAACATCAAGGCAGCAGGGTTTACACATACACACACATACACACATGCAAACGATTAGTGGGTTTCAGATAGTGATCAGGCAAGCACCATAAAATCCATCCTACTTAGGCGAAAGGAATAATCCATTTGGGGACAGGTTTCAATACGGTCCATACTAACCATGTCACGGTGAAGCTCTCACCAAAAGCAATGGGGATAATTTGGGGCAGAGATACATTGGCACATTTTTTTAAGCAATGAAGTGAGGTCATATTGCCGGAAGCAGAGATAAGAATTAGCAATCAATGTTCATCAAGGTGGTTAACCTAATGGGCCTAAGGCCAACAAATGTGACCAAATACTGCTGGTTAAAATCATTTTAAGCTATAGGGTTCGCTTTTGGTTGATTGAGGCATTGGGGACATTTTGACCATTTGCTTTCTCATCAGAGTTTAAGATTTATACCTGACTGACATATTATTTAAACGTGGATTAAGACATTCTACAGATATTTGCAGATGTGACCTATGATGGGTTCATTTAATAAAAAAGGAGACACCAGGCAGAGGAAAATGTTTATGAAAACTCCCTCTGCAATTCCTCCTTTTTGCTCATCTGTCACCCAAATTATTAAGTAGCCTCCATTAGTCTTAGGGCATCTTTGTTTGGACAATAAGCAATGAGGCTGAACTAATGACCCTTACCCTAATCACATCAGAGGAGAGGTGGGTGCTCCTATAAACGTATCTGTGTGTGTGTGTGTGTGTGTGTGTGTGTGTGTGTATTTGCGCAAAGTAATGACCCCAACCACCAGTGGTCATCGAAGCACTGACCACCACTGGTCGATACCCTCCCATCTATCCAACCATCTCAACCATCTTACCCATCCTTCCTCTTCCCACAAAGCCCATTCACGGCCCCAATCAATGTCAAATTATGGGTTATTTATTGAATAATCAAAAAGGTATTATGGGTCCGACTGGCTGACTAGCCTGCAGTGGTTGACAATAAGGAAATAGAAGGTGGTGGAGGGGGGGGGGTGACTATTTATCAGCCTAGCTGCCATGCATGCATTTAAAATTAGGGTAATCAGTTGGCATGTAAACAGTAGGCCCAGCAGCTGGCTGCCAGACAGCTAGGCTATTACTCACTTGCCACTTATCATCGCTGACGTGTATGTCTGTGTGTGTGTGTGTGTGTGTGTGTGAGTGTGTGAGTGTGTGTGAGTGCGTGTGTGTTTGTTTGAATGCGTGCATATATCAAGAGGTGACAGAGTATGCATTTAGGGATTGGTGGTACTTGTGTTTGTTGTGAAAGAGTCTGTGTGTGTATATATGAGCTTCTTTATATTATGTAAGTCAGTATTGGATCCCCTTTAATCCAGCTTTTCCTGGAGCTTTCAACCGTATCCACTGGTCTTCATCAGCTGATAAAGTTTGCTCAGATGTCATGGTCATGTCACATCACAACAGAGCTACCGTTGTTAAAAACAGCATGAGATGCAGCTCCAAAATATCAAGTAATTAATCTTTGATATAAAAATGTTTTTTGTACATTATTTTTGCTATTTTGATCTGATAGGTAAAAATCATATTTCTTTGTTTCATAAAGGTTTGTATTGTTTATATGACAACATATGCATATACGTTCCTAAAAAAAAGTTAGGGTATATATGGTTTCCAGTAATTCTTAACTTTCTTAGCTGAAATTTGTATTTACGTGGATACATTGGTATTCAACACAGAGTCTTTTGTGACAATGGTGGCATGACCACACACACACAAAAAAAAAAAAGTATTTATAATCAATGCAGAAGACTGTAGGGGTTAAGATTTGAAACCCCGAGTCCCTAGGCCACTTGTAAACTAATCTGCCAGGGCAGCCTTTGTGTCAGAGGTCAACAGACATCATTACAGCGGGTGTGTAGGGGGCAGAGGAGAGGGCAAGTCTGCGTATGTGTGTGTGCGTGAGTGTGTGTTTGTGTGAAGGGCAGATGAGAGGGCAGGGTTGTCCGCTGTGGGCAGATCGTCTTTCTCTCCAGAGCTTTGGCCTGTGAGGATTGGCTGCGTGCGGCTGGGTTAAGAGTGGAGGGCTCACTCTGACAGGGAGGACCAGACTTGGCAGACAAGACCTGATTTGTGTTACAAGCAAACACTACTACAGACTGCAAGGAATAAAAGCGTATGATAATATCTTAGTTTGAGTGTGTGTCAACGGTAACAAGATATGTTGTAAGGACGAGGAGTACTATACCAGGGATGTCAGTCGGTACATTTTGTGACGGCTATAGCTTCGAAAACCGTGAAAGATATAGAATGAAACATTACATTTGTTTTAGTTGAGATCAAAATGAAGGTTGGGTTTGAAGATGGGTGTGGGTTCAAGAAAGGGAGCTGGTAGGGGGAGGAAGAGGGGAAGGGACCAATGAAACCAACCACTTTCAGCACCTGACCACATTTCGCAGGTTTAATGCCATTGCAAGATGGTCTTTAGTAAGGGATTATGAAACTCAACATGGTTACTGTCCCTCAAATTCAAATGCACCATGTCCACCATGCACCATGTCTTTGTCGAAACCATGCATCCACTATTGACCAATAACAAGGATATCTGAATTTGAATGCCAGTTCACCTAATTCCCAACAAAACAAAACAATCATTTTAATTCAATAAAAATAACATCTTTGTAATTTGGATGAACATATCCTTTAATAGGAAATGAAACGTGTGTACAGCTATATCTGTGAATGCACAGTACACTTATGTCTATACATGCGTGTCTGTCACGCTGACTGAGGTTAAACCTATAGCTTCAGGGTCTGTCTCTATGTATTAAATAAAGTGGCGTCTCGGTGTGTTCCCCTTAAACAGCCCTATCAATCTGGCCCACTTATGGACTCCATAAATTACAAGCCAATCACAATGCCTCACTAATGCTCTGGCTGGAGCCACTGTGCATGGGAGGCAGGGAGCAACAAGGTTAGTAAGGAGGAAAGGAAAGGAAAGGAAAGGAAAGAGGGGCTGCTGGAAAGAATGGTGATACACAAAGTGCAAGAAAGTAAAGAAAATTGGACAGTAACAGTTATAGAAGGAGAAATAAAGAGATTTTTTTTTAACCATCCTCACCTCTATGTATCAGTCAATCTATTTGTCTCCACTTGTGCTTTTAAGACCGCCGTACTGTTGACACTTATTGCATGTCGCCATATTTTCATCCCTGAAAAAGCATTAGAAAAGCCAATGCTGGGGTGGGGTAAGTGAATTAGGATTGGTTTTTGCCTCCCCTGGCCACAGAGGGAGGTAGGGTTACCCACAATAAGATCAGAATGAGACCAATTTTGTTTCCGTCGCCATTCAAAACAAACAATGGGCACCTAATAGCCCTGCAGCATCTGTGGCCTCGCTCGGGCCAAAACACACATGATGGCCCCTGGTCGATAGATGCCGACAGCTAGATGGACGAGAAGAGTCACGCACAAAAGCACACACGCTGCCGCACACTTACGTAGGCAGACAGGCTCGCGTGATGTTGCCTGATAGCCGCGAGCTGCCTGGAACACTAGTTAGCGGTTGGTGTAAAAGTGGCCTGAGTGCTTCTGAAGACACCGATCATATCAGCGAAAAGAGGAGAATAGGGGCTTATCGACTCAGAGAGGGTGACGGACAGGGAGGGAAAGAGCCAGGATTGGTGGTCATGTCTAGCAACACATACTGTAGGTGATCTAATCTTGGGGCATTACACTGACAGACAGGCAGTGGTTACTATTTGAGGACAGGAATTGATATATGGAAGAGTTGCATCCGTGTTGTTCTGTCTGGGATAACTACAAGTTAAAAGGCCCACATGCATTCATTTTGTAAACCAAACATATTTGTTCCAGCTTTTTTTGCTGATATTTAATGAATAGCTTTGGCCTTGGAACACATATACTATAACAAGGAATAAGACAACTGCCAATTTAAGCTATACAAAAATGGGAGTGATATAAAACAAATGATTATCGAAAAGAATGAGGCCTTCATTCGTTCAACTGAACATACAAAGAAGCCCAATTCTTCAATAGGTCCCCCTCTCGTATTCGACCCAGGGAGATTGGCTAGAGCTAAATTGTTCTGCCTTAAAATCTATAGTTAACTCAAGGAAATGCGGGTAATAATTTGTGATAACAAGGAAGATGCCTCTCTAATTTGCCCTCTGGGTTCTACAGGAAGGATGCTGCAGGTACAGCAGCCTGACCTCACACTGCCCTCAGCTAATGACATTAGGACAGACACCTTGGTGCTGTAACAGGGTCACCCGTGGTGCACCTATACACACACATGCAGACCTGCACGCAAACCAAATGGCCTATGAACATGCACACACAGGCGCACACACACACACACACACAGTCCCAAGTCCCCTGGGCGAGCCGTTAAAGAAGCTTCCCCTCTCCGGTCGCCTCTCATTACAGCCCATTAGTCAGGTGCTTCTATCAGCTTTATGTATGTGTGTGTGTGTGTGTGTGTGTGTGTGTGTGTGTGTGTGTGTGAGAGAGTGTGTGGGGTCACCGTTCACTGGCTAACAAGTGGGGTAACAGAGTTAGCAAGGGAGAGGCTAAGGGAGGAGGGGTGCTTACACCTGCCCACACACACACACACACACACACACACACACACACACACACACACACACACACACACACACACACACACACACACACACACACACACACACACACACACACACACACACACACACACACACACACACACACACACACACACACACACACACCACACACACACACACACACACACACACACACACACACACACACACACACACACACACACACACACACACACACACACACACACACACACACACACACACCCTGGGGGTATCGATTGCAACCGCC